TTTTTTTTTTGCTTTTATAGCCAACTCCTATGTCAACACTGTCTTGCAGCTATATATCTGTTGATAATGTGACTTGATTTTGCTAGGCAAGCAAAAATACTCAACTAAAACTTGAATAATGTCTTTAGACAAGCTGCAAGTCGTCTTATCGAAAGAGCTCGTTTTCGGGGAGCGCTCCACAAAGTTTTGGTTGCGCAACGGGCTCTAATTGATAGAGACCCTGACGATCCTGAACTTCAGAATGATTTTGCGTTAACATTCTTAATGATGGGTCGTGAGGATGACGCATTCAAAGTGTACAATGATGTTAGTTGAATAAGTCGTTTTGATTTAGTAATTTGGTTTAGTTGTAATTGCTTTCTTCTAATTGATCTGTAGTTTACGCGCATGATAAGACCTTCACTTGTTTAAGACACACGAATAAAAAATAAATCAGCAAAAAATTTTTTTATACGAACTTTTAGGTGCTAAAACAATATCCAGAAAATGGAATGGCACAGGCATATTATGGTTTTATTCAAAAATTGCGAGGGAATCTGGACGAAGCGGTACTCTACATGAGAAAGGGATTTTGGGCAACTCAACGAAAAATAACCGATCCCAGGTTAAGCATTTTTTCATCCATGAATGTTTGTGATTTTTGAGCGCTTCTACACAGCATCGCTCTTAAAATGTTTCATACATCAATATTTGATAAGTCTTCGTTGGTCCCCTCCACGTCCTCCAGTAAATCATTCCCTCTGCTGTCCTGCTGCAAATTCAGTTAGCTTACATTTGCAGGTTTTACTATCATTTTGGAGACGCCTTGACGCGACTTGGAAGAGCGCAAGAAGTACACTGTTTTTATTTTACATTTTTCATATTTTTCTCCAACTCTCTGAAAAATTTTCGGCTTTAAATCAGAACCGACGGATTTAGAAAAAAAAGCCCAAATGAGTATTTCGCGGTCCGGTTTCAGGCTTATGAAGTTTATAACGAGGGATCAAAAATCGGATTGTTTTTGTCACCGTACCAAAGATCGCTACACAACTTTCGCGGACTGTCGGCAAAGCCATGGTGGACGACCGAGCAGACAACATACGCAAAGTTCTTGAAGGTCAAGAAGTTCCACTTTGTTGCTAACAGCCTGTTAACACTGTTTCTGTCGTGACACAATTTTTTCCTCTCTAGAGTTATACGGGAAATGGTTTTTACAGCCTTTACGAATTTGCGGTCAAAATGCATAATATAAACAGTTTAGCTCAGATAGCATTAATATCATAATATTTCTTTACCAAAGTACGAATTTAATACCGACTTCGCCTGCTATCATTTCTCTAAACTCCTGTCTCTTCGGGTAAAGAAAACCAATTTAAGGCTTGACAACACTGTAAAAGAACTGCTTTAAAGCATTCAAAAAGGTCTGTTCATGTAACGCTTGAAGAATACTTAGAGTGAACAAATGTTATGAAGACTTAACCACAAAATGACTATTTTTTAGGTCATGGAGAAACAATGGACTGTTATACGTGAAGAGGCAATTGCCCTATTGAAAACAAATCCAGAGTTATTCAGTCCTGAAAATCCAGAACTAACGTGGTTTGGAAATTGGTCGTCCTATTACTTTTATCGTGGTTGGTCATGGGATGATGTTAACTGCATGAGGTCTCGGAAAACTTGCAAGTTACTGAGAGAATTTCGCGAAACCTCTAATAGTTCGAAAAGCGAGGTTTTCTCCATTCTTGAAATTTTTAATTATCTTTTTAATGAGAAGGAACGTTTTTTTTCCTTCACCACTTACAAACATTTCTTCGTTACCCACTTTTTTGTTACATATCCTCACAAAAACCACAATGATCTACGTTCAATAGTCTCCATTTCCGCTCCATAAGACTTCAAGGTAGACTGTCCTAGGAAAGCGCCAAAATTAAAACCATTTTGTTCTTGGAGTTTCGAAAAATCAGAAGTGTTGTTTCTCCAGTAAATTCATTCATATACTTCAGATAAGTACTGTTCTTAGAATCGTCGTCCAAAATTGATTTTGAAGATTTCGCTTCGTGACTGAGGGCTCTGGAGATGAGAGATGTTCCTTTTCGATGATGAGCGAGTGAATTCTGTTGCTGAAAAAGACTTTTGAGGAGAAATTTGAGTAAAGCGGCTACAGCAATTCATAGGAGACTCTAATCTCAGCTGAACTGTAGCGTGTAACTAAATCTCGATCGTGTAAAATGACTACAGGCGATTACCACATCGAATGACGGTCTAAAAATACCTTAAATATTCCCGCTCCGCTGTTTTTGCGCTCGCTAAATATTGTAATTTAACGTTTGATGATCTGCTAAAAGCGAGTGAACTATTAACGTGTTTCGCAGCAGCAGTGAAGCATTTTACAGAGGAGCGTGTTGCAAGGAACCATTTGACACGAACAAAGCTTCAATTGAGCTTGGTTCGCTGATGCCAAATACCATCACTGTCACAAAAGATTAAAGGATAAAACTGAGCAGTTATATTTTAAATTACTGGACAATGTGTACTATAAATCCATATGTTGTGCCCAATAATGCCCAAAGCTTGCCCATCCGATTCCTGCCTTCTTCAAACATCTTGACATGATTCTCCATAAAATAAAGATGAAGCGTTGAAAGCTGTGAACCTAATATTTCTTGTTCCCACTATCAAAGTTGCCTCAAAATAAAATTACAATAACTCAAACTTATGACATCGGCGCCAGGAAAATCTCCTTAACTCTCTGAAAAATTATCAGTTGCTCTATGGACTGATGCATTTGAATGCAGTGGTAACTGCCTGGTCTTCACAGCATAAACTAAGTTGTAATAGGAAAGAAACTGTAATCAAAGCATACTAAAAACTAAATCGGCATTTTAGCATTACAAATATCTAGTATACTGACTTCTATACTTTTTTTCAGATGAAATTGTCTCTCTTGACAAGCAACTCTCGAGTTTGGCCACATTGCGGTTACTCCAACTGTCGACTTCAAGCTCATTTGGGACTTGTTGTACCTTCAGGTAACTAATGACCAATTTTCAAAGCAGAATATGCAAAACCTATACTCAAGGACAAACCAAACAAGATACAAAGATCCGATTACGCCTAATTGAAATTAACAAGATGGTTTTTCCAACGCAAATACCCAAAACAGGAGGGGTTAAATAACTACTATCCCGCACAGTTTTTACCATTAAAATACTGTTTTCAAATTTATCAATTGCTTATCACAGATAATGCAGCTTTTTGCAGCTGCACTCGACAATAAATCAACTCAATTTTTAAACTGTTTCAGAAGCGCGGATACGCGTCGCTGATGAGATTCGTGGTTGGAAGACTGGAAGGTTTATCATTTTTGATGACTCCTTCGAACATGAACTATGGTTCGAAGGAGCGTCGGCCAACAAGTACTGTTTAGTACTGGCGATTGACCTTTGGCATCCGGATGTCGCTTCTGAAAGACGAGTTGATCTCGGCTCACTATAGCAGCCTGTCTTTCTTGTCCCACGTTGTTTGAAATAGTGATGCGTTTGTTGAACAATGTTTGCCGAGTGCTTTCTCCCAATCAGATTTCAGAAGAATTATTTCTTTGATCTTCTCAAGCTTATTTAAAGTTTAAATTTTATTTTTCATTTTGCATACTTCTAGAAAGGCTACAAATTTTCCGTTTTATTTCTGTTTAGCACGGGTTATCCTAAAATCGACGTTTGCAAATTTCACTGCATGATAAGCCAATTGTAATTACAAAAAACGTTAAATATTCATCATGCGATGGATGAAATAAAGTTAAATAAGTCGCCCATGTGTTACTGGACTTCTTAGGACCGCACTGCCCGTCCTCTAACAACAAGTAGCGGTACGTCGGGACCCACAAACGGTTACGAATATGATGTAAAACTGACATCCGCCGACTTCCTTACCTTACATACACATCTGACACAAGGCAAAAGAAGTTCAGTAATCCTAGACATTGCCCTTTTGATTCGTCGACATAGACGAACTGGAGCTGACCTAGCCAAAACAAGCTCTCGTTTCACGAAATGCATATGAACTGCTCAACGACAATACGTTGTGCAAAGTACATTTTATCAAGAGTTTTAAAAAGAGCAGAAAGGAAAAAGTGAGACTTTTGAAATACTACTCGAACAGCAAGGCTATAGTGAAAAATCCTCTCCATGTACAGTCTCTCGTTTAAATCCCGACCATTGTCGCAAATAGTTTTTTAAAAAACAAACACTGCTTTGAAAATAAACTGGAACAAGCTGAACACAAGGAAACTGAAAGTTGATTCTGTGGCAAACAATAACTCCTAAAATTCTACAAAAAAAAAGACTAAAGAACCAAAAAACCTGCTGATATCCAAAAAATTTCAGTTTACATATTTATTATACAAATTTTATTATTTACACAAATATAATATGTCATTAAAACGGAAGAAGACGCCAATATTACAACAGACAACAACTACGATCTCCAGCGCAAAAACGTCGAGAGGGGAAAGTCAGAAAAAGACGTTACAACTACCAAATGTTATCAAAAATAGGAAAACTAGTATTAGATGAGCATCGATGAACAGAAAAAAACCAAAGTAGAAACAGTGTTTTACATTGTAAAATATATATCACAACCTATACAACAACAACCAGAAGATCATAATAGTAAAATACAGATTATTTCCGTTAGTTTCTACCTCTTAGAAAAAACCCAACAAGAAGAAGTCGACAGACAGATTTCGAAAGAGGTCTAAAATTTAATCCTACCTGTATGATTCACAGTAAATGGAATACGTTTAAAATAATATTAATTAAGAAAGCGGTGAGTTAATAGTAAACAGTAGTTTCACAAATATAAGATCATTTAGTAGGACTGAGCCAAAATTAAATAATCAAAGCTCCGCTTGTTCCAGATATGAAGTGTTAATAACACAAATTACAGTCTACAATATTACAAAAATAAGATATCTGAAGTTCAAAAACAAAATCTTATCTTCCAAATTTCGCCGTAAATATTTTAGCCAAATCATCTGCAAGCAAGTCAGTACATTTGAAATTACAGCAAACAACTGTTTAACCCGAAAAATAAACCATTTTTTAAAATAAAACATAATAACTTCTCACCCATTAGTGATCTATCCCGCATAACGAAAAGTGATGCAAAACTGATGTTAATAATTCCTCTAAAAATAATCTTAAGTAATATAACGAGTTAAAAAATTTCTTAATACCTGTCTGTTTTTGGAATAACAGAGTTACTGCTAAAGCAACTTGAAAAAACGGTCATAACAACAGAGAACTAAGATAGTAAGTGAAACTGTTTTTGTGAACTATAAACAAAAAAAATCTGTAGCTAACGAGCAAGAGCCTTAGGACATAACGCGTAAAAATCAAAAAAAAAAAAACCGGCTGGAATATGCTATAACTCTCCATATGTTTCGAATACTTTAAAAGTCATGTAAAGTCGTAAATTAATGAATCAATCGATCTCCCCATTCAAATCACTCCATTTGTAATGATGACCCGGTCAAAATAAGTGCCTTCCGACTATTTTTTATAAAGACTCAGTATTCACCACATGAAATTTAATGAATAAAAAGTTATATTATGCCATAAATCTAAATTTTTTCGGTGAAGCTTATAATTAATTATATAACTTCACAAACCCCTCTAATTTTGTTGCATATACTTGTTTTACGCTCAGTGTGCCGGTTTCCTCACTTGCATTAGAAGCAAAAAAGCATGCTCAAAGCCACGAAAGCAGGTGCAAATCAAACGACTAATTCTATACAGTAAATTCTTATGGACACAGTAATGCCCATTACCACATAAAATAATTACAAAAACACCCGTGTCCCGGGTATAGTTGCAAAACCCAAACCAACCTTACACTTACCGGCAGTTCTGAGTACCTCTGTTTTAAAATACCTTAGGCAAATTTAAAAGGGTACTGCCACCAGTCAACTACCAATTTCTGGAGTACAGCTTCCGCTACAGTCACTAGAGAAATAAGTAACAAAAATACTACATCAGGTGCCTGAAGAACAAACAACAGCAAAAAACCAAATTGCGAAACAACTTTCACCCAAGTTTCACCAACGAAATTTTAGACCAGACCGGCAATTCAGAGAAATGACCAGTATAAAGGAAGATCGGTAAAACCTGCAGAATCCGGATAGAAACTAATCCCCCTAGCACCGTTACCTTTTGCGTTTAGGAGGCACAGGATTCTCAATAATTTCAAGATCACTTTCTTCAGAACTAGTTGCGTTATCTTTAACCGCACTTTCACTAATCTTTTCAAACTCTGAAGTTTCCGGCGAAGTTTTCCCAGATCCATCATCAATTTGAGGGTATATCCGAACGGGCGTGCTAGAGCCACTCCCAGTAATTGAAGAATCTTTTCCATTAGATTCTTGGTGTAACAAAGACATCTGCTTCATAACAGGAGTTATTTTCTGCTCTGATAATAAACGGCTTAAATTTGAATCCTTATTGTCCAAAAGTTCTGAGATTTTTCCATATTCCAGCACCTAAATTAAACAGGTTTGGATTTCTAAATAAATGATTCCTTAAGAATGAAGTTTTATAAGCTTAACAAAAAAAGAAGACAGCATCTACAGAATTAAAAACGACCCGTGATTAACCTTGGCTTGATCCATATACAGAATTTTGTCAAGACGAAGAACGTTTTCTAATCTATGTGCAATAAGGATCACAGTTGAGTCAGCCAGAGCCTCACTCAAGCAGTCCTGAATCTTCTTATCTAGGGAAGAATCTAAGCTGCTCGTCGCTTCATCCAGTATGACAATCTTTGCTTTCCTAAAAAAATTGATGGATTTTCTTTCGTTTAATGTCACCCACAAACTTTCAATTTAAGCCCTCAAAACCCACTATTTACCTTAATATAGCTCTGGCCATACAAAGCAACTGTCTTTCACCAACAGAAAAATTTCGTCCACCTTCCTCAACAGCTGAGTCCATTTTCCTATCCAGTGCCATAACCTAAACTACACTGTTATTAACAACTACTAGATAAAAACAAACTTTTGGTAATACACCACAAACTAAAAGGAGCAACGATAAGGCAAATTAAAATATTAAATAAAGTTTGTATCGATGTTTTTTATTTGTAGATATGAGCAATTCTAACTAACAGATAAAAAAATACCTACAATATCTTTCGCATGAGCTTTCTCCAACGCGTCCCAGAGCTGATTGTCACCAAACTCTTTTTCAGGGTCCAAATTATATCGAATAGTTCCAGCAAACAATGCTGGATCTTGAGGTATTACTGCCATTGAGCGCCTTAACCGGTGCAAGGGAACATGAGCGATGTTTACACCATCGATTGAGATAGTCCCCCAAGTAAGAGAGTAAAGTCTATACAAAGCGTTGTACAGAGAAGACTTACCTAAAAAACCTCACTGATCCAATATTAAAAAGTCTAAACGAAGAAGCTAATCAAGTATTGTGTTAAAGTTGACTAACCAGATCCAGTGCGGCCTACAACGCCAATTTTATCTTTCGGATCAATGACAAACGAGACACCGTCTAATGCAAGCGGAAGATTCAAACGATACCGCAATCTGAAAAGATGTTTCGCGAGAAAAATTTCTGGGTACAACTGTGGCTACTGGAAAATAAAACAACAGTGCATACTTGACGTCGGAGAACGCTATTTTCCCGTTTGAAGGCCAGTCATTCGGTACAGATGTACGTTCATTTTTTCCTTCCACATCAGATTCCGACTCGACGTGCTAAAAGCATATTCAAAATTACAACCAGAAAAGAATAAAACTAATTATAATAATTTCTTGAGAATAGGTAACCAATAAAGCACAAATCACAGTCCAAGAACTAAAAATACGCATAAGAAACACTTATTTAGGGTCTAAAAACTCCTCTAATTTGATTGTGAAAAAACTACCTCGCTGTAATAGGCTACTCTTTCGACACACGTCATCTTGGCTTCAAGGTCAGTATGAGTTCTAACAGCAAATTGGAATATACCACTCATCTACAAATATTAGCAAATACATGATAAACTGCAATTACCGCAAGTAAAAATCAGGCAATCAAAGTTAAAAATACATTAAACGTTGTATTTTGGCTAACCTGTACAGCAAACGCCAAAGCCATGCCTGCATCAGCTGGAGAAACACGTCCAGTAAACATAACTATCAAGAGACCTACCACAAATGTAATCGCAACTACGATTAAATCTAGCCAAACAGCCAACCATCTCATAGCAGACTGATACATAAACATAGCTCCACTTCAAAAATACTTGCTTCAAATTAAAAAATACCAGGAGCAAAAGCAAGAATAAGTTCCAAGCGATAAAGAGCAAATTTTACGAAAATGGTAAGTTAAGGTTCAAAAGTGAAAAAAAACATTGAAAAGACGTACCTATTAGCATCGAGGTTGGTCTTCAACGTATCAACAAAACGATTAATTTGCCCAAGCGAATGGATAGTGTACAGCCCTTCCATACTAGCAGTGATATGGTCGAACAGTGGAGAGCGTGATACATTTTCAATGCGTTTAAGGCTAAAACAAAAAAATAATATTCAATCAATAAAGAAAAATAGACAGTAACATAATACTGACGACGACTAACGAATGTGGTCGTTAAATTTACTCAAGAAATAGAAAATTTAGTGAGGAAAGTAGAAGTACTTACCTAGTAATTCCTGCTCGAAAGCAGACAACAAATAGCGAAAAACAGCAGGCGAGGGGGATGCTGGCAGGAATAAACCACGGGAAAACCCAGATAATCATAATGAGATAGCATATGCAAGTTATGCCGTTTTGAAGAAAAACTTCGGCAGAAAATGGAAGTTTGATGTCAACTGAAAAGATCAAATAAGAAGTAATGAAAAATGTGAAACATCACCACAAATAAAAATTAAAATAAAAAGAAAATATCTGTGTGCTTACTCTCATCCATATCTTTCGAAAACCTGTTCAGTATTCTTCCTGTTGGTGTTGTATCAAAGAACTGCACATTAGCTCTTAGAATGCTACGAAACATTTTATTATGCAACTTAGACGCAGCGTTTAATGAGACCTAAAAGTTGAATGCACTTAATTATTCAGAAAAGATAACTGGAATAAAGATTTCTGAAACCACAGTTAGGACGATCAAGAAACTTCACAACCAACAAGCACAAAATACTGTAACTCGGTTAAGTGTTAGATGTCACGAAACTAACAGCACCTGTTGTAAACAAAAAAAATACCTGAACAAAAATGATGGCTTTGACTAGCCCAGATACTCCCAGGAACAAGATAGAAAAGCCGCAAATTGTGCCATAATAAGCATTTGCAGGACTATTAACTAGAGTCCTCGTTGTCACCAACGTATCATTTCCGACAGTGATATTCTAAAAAATGTACAAAATTTTAACAAGAGCAAAATTTTTATTTAAATCCAAGAGATCCTTTTTTTCCTCCCATGAAAAATAATAAGCTTTTGCTGGATAAATAACTACTTTCTCACCGTTTCAATCCTACCATTCTTCAACCACTGCGCTAACCAAGCTGTTGAAAATATTGTTGCTATAACGTTCAGTAAAAACGCAATTGACAGAACGATCCAAGTGAAGATACTGCCCGCAGCCTCAATATATTTTCTAGAAAATAAGGGAACTGAGAGCAATAGAAGCTAATACTTTTAAAATTTGAACCATATTTTTTATTGCATTAAACTACCTGTAAATAGACCATTTAACTGCAGCCAATCCGTAATTTTCTTCTTCTTCCACAATGCGACCTGAACCAAAATAAATTAGATTTTATCGCTGTGTTCCTTAATGACTTTAACATACCATTTGTCGCCAATGGTATATCGGCCAATGAACCGACTGTAGATGCTGAAATTTCACTCGGGAACGAACCACTTCTAGGCTTTAAAATTTTTGCTCCTCCTGACTTACTGCTCTCAACTTTCACAAAATCGTCATCTGTGATCTTCATACTCTGATCATCCTCAAATCGCAAGCGGTTCTCTTGAACTATAATAAATGACTTATTCGCAAGCAATGTTCAGCAAAAATGAACAAAAAACGAAAGTTTACCAGAAGTGACACAACTTTCGCAAAATTGTGCGTAGGGTTCAGATTTTTCAAGCAACTCTTGGTGACTCCCAACCCCAACAACTTGACCACCTTCCATATGAACTACACGATCGCATTGTGACAGGTACTAAAAATATAAACTAACACTAGTTCCTAACGCACCTATTCCCACACAGCTATCCATTACTGGTGACAAAATAACAAAAGCCTAATGTCCAAAATCCGATGAAATATTGAAAATAAGTTATACCACCCTTCGATCCACAAAAACTGTCAAGAAGTTAAGAAAGAAACGAATATAAAAAATGTAAAGAACCTGAATGTTATTTGTGACGAACAGCACCGTTTTATTTCCTAAAACTTCTCTGATAGCGCTTTTAAAGATCCTGTCGCTGACATTCTGATCAACCGAACAGAGTATATTATCGATCAAATAAACCTGTGAATTTGAAAACAGTGCTCGAGCTAATGAAATACGAGCCTTTTGGCCACCAGATAAAGTCACGCCTCGTTCTCCAATCTGAAAAATACATGATCAGAAATGAAAGAAAATTTTACTGCCTTAAAACCTCTACACAGTGGAAAAATGAAT